GAGGACGAGGAAGGTACCGAAGAACCTTGAGATTGGGAACTATGTGGAGAGTTTGACGTATTTCTTGGCGCACTGAAGGCATTGGACGTCTGAGAAGAGGAATTTTCAAAATGCAGCAGCGTATGATGCTTTCCGGAACATCGTCTGCATGACACTTGAGAGGAACACTGGGAAGCAGAATGTCTGGACCCGAGGCAATTGGAGCACCACTTGTGCATTTTCACAAGATTATATCGGTCATTTGGGGACTTGGCGAGAAAGTTTTGACAATTATATATCATGTGATCATTTTGGCATAATTGACATTCCAACTTATGAGAATTTGAAACGAATGACGAACTTGTTCGTTGTTTTGAGTGGTTGACAATGTTATTGGAAGGTGATGATGTAGCTTTGGATCGGGTGAATGACTTTTTTGTCTGAGAAGAATTAAAATAAACGGTATCCAACGCATCGCAATGTTTTTCCAGAAACTCCTGCAAGGTGGTGAAATATGAATCACTTTGTAATTTTGAACCACATTCCAATTCAAAGTTGGTAGCGGTTGTGGAGTCCAACCTATCCAGCAGCATGTTGAACAGAATGAAGTCCCACTGTTCAGTTTTATGGCCTAAGTTCTGCAACATCGATAAGTTTTCATTGAAAGTATCGATGAGGAGCCTGAATGATTGAGAGTCATCTGAAGAATTTAATTTTCTGGTTTGCTCAATTGCACGCCAATGAGATGTCCCTATCAACCTACTATTATCATACCGTTTCCTTATCGAATTATAGGCAACTAAATAATTCTGGGCAGTTAAAGGAGTTCGCTTGACGAGAGCCAATGGAGCACCTTGCAATGAGCTCAACAAGTAGTTGAATTTGTCAATATTTGACATACCGTTCACGTCATGGATCATGGAATCGTACATGTCGATAAATGTACGCCACTGCGTAAGATCCCCATCAAATTTGGGTAAGGAAATTTTCGGGAGTTTTATATTAGTATGAGCCGATGAAATCGATTGATTCAAATTCATAGATACATCTTTCACGTCTTCGAATATTTGCATAAAGATTGCTTGTATATGATAAAAATCGTTTTCGAATTGTGTATATCTCTGATTATGAGGCAATAATTCGACTTCCTCCAGAGAACACAGTAGAGCAACAATTTGGGAATGCAACGATTCAAAATTAGCATAAATAGTGTCGATGTGTCGGTACCTACATTTTAAATTATTGTGCACCGCTTTATCATGCACAGATTGATCAGCAATTCTTTTCAATTCTGCTAGTTTAATTTCCTCAATCCCTCGTGAAGCGACGAGTTGTTTGAGTTTTTTCGTTTGAGCATCGGATAATGTGGCAGTCATTGTGAGCTTTTATTTTTGACAAGATTTTTTTTTTTTTTTTTTTTCTTATGAAATAATCTATGACCATCGAATTGTTGGCCTAAGCCTACGGTGAGCACAAATTCACGAGGATAACAACGTATACAACCTGTAAACACGAGATCGCGGTGAGACGCGAGACGAGCAAAGGCCTGCAGCCACTATCTTTAAATGGTGATAAAAAACAGCGCGAAATACCGTCTCTACTGTTATTAACACAAATACCTGAAAGAATTAGTAGAAATAATTTGAGTGAGATATATCTAATGTTTGGTAATAACACTAGATAGAGATTATATTTTAATAATTAGAGAAGAGCAGAGCAATTTCATAAATCATAGACACATCGAGTGTCTGATTTATTCTATTTTTCGAGTGAGATGACAGGTAAACAAACAATAAACAATTTCAGAAGCTAGGCGAGACTGCGAGACTCGATGGGGGCGTGTCCAATTTTTACCAGCGACAAGTGCGAGTACGATATGCGATGCGATGTTTCGACAGCCTAATAATAATTATGGCCGCCGGCTAATAATTCCAAATTTATGCAAATTTCAATAATGTTTGCTAATTATTGGTAATTCAACCTGACAATTTTACGAATCGAGATCCGGCTCGAAGGACCATTAACATGGGCGAGAAAGAGACAGTGGACTGTAAATTTGAGTTGAGTGAAAGTATGAAGGTTTTCGAATGACAAGAGGTTGATATGGCCACTCACCTGACGATCTGTCGGACCTCTTCAAAATCCTGTTTTGGCGGCCGCCTCAGGCACTCTTCTCGCACGAATCTTATCGAACATGGTACACGGGCACTATGTCATCACACTTGATGCAATTATATTATGGACACAATGTCATTGAGGTAATTAGCGAGTTTTAATTGGGTTATTACACCGGTCCCGTCTTAATGCCGTGATATTCCTTTTCCGAGCGCGCCTGGTCACCTTTTTGGTTCACACATGCGTATATTTGGTACGCGGTGGTCCATTAGTGGCATAAGTGACCGGAAGATACCTCTTGTCATTATCACGCGGTAATTTGAATTGTATCAATGAATGTGATAATGAAGTGATTTGCATAATTTTGGATTTATATTATAATTATTATACTATACTATATGAAAACTGAACAAAGAAACCTTCTATTGGAGTGAATATAAATATTCCATACGAGTACTTGATGTAAGCATGTGCAAGTCAATGCCGTGTCTCTGGATGTAAAAACAACGAGCATCCTGAAGATCCTGATCAGGATGATGTAAGAAAACTATTGAATTATGCTTTTGTCATCATTCCCCGATAAGTGTGCGAAGTTTCGATCAATTCAATTCAACTTTTTGAAGTGAGCCAAACTCACCATCTCTCTGAATGTTACTAACAATTTTTAATCTATGCTTGATGTAAAAAGTTATCTGCCAATTGAGCTAACGGGACATCCGTCGATCAATCGGCCAGGCGGCAAAATCCTTCCAATTCCCGAAGTCACTCGGAATCATGCACGAAGTATCGCTGGCAGGATGGTACTATACATCCTCCATTTTTCCCCGTTCGCCGTTGCCAGGAGACGAACGGGGAAAATAGGAAAATGTGGGAAAAACAATATGGAATTATCACAAAATAAAGTTTTTGGTGATGAAATATGAAAGTTTGAGCTTTTTTGTTGCAGTAGTTTTCTCTCAAACAGGTCTCTCCATGTAGTGGTCGACGGAGTTTCATCTGACTCTCTTATCATAAATGCTGGTGTTCCGCATGGATCACTTCTAGCACCAACACTATTTCTACTCCATATCAACGATTTGTTGGAAGCAACTTCATGTCCAGTACACAGCTTCGCGGATGATAGTACCCCCCATACCGCACCTCCTCTTCCAGGGTTCCGATACCAGCCAGGCAAATCAGAAACGAACGATGGAGAAATGTTGACAACATGAATATGGACTTGGCAACAATTCTCGAATGGGGATGCAATAACTTGGTAGATTTCAATGCAAACAAAACACAAGGATGCCTTTTCTCTAGACAAGCCGATCTTACTGTGGCCAACATAAGCTTTTCAGGAGTAACCATACCTTTGAAGACATCCATTTCGATGCTTGGTATTACTATCAGCAATAACCTTTCTTGGGAAAATCACGTGAGATCAATTGCTGAAAGTGCATCCCAAACACTTGGTTTTCTGTTTCGGGACAGGAGCTATTTCACTTCCAGTCAGCTGCTTATGATCTAGGCACAGATCCTACCTGTCCTGGAATACTGTTCCCATATTTGGAGTGCAGCACCCAAACATACCCTGAAACTGTTGGATTCTGTCCAAAAAAAGGGCAATCGTCTCGTGAGTGATGCCTCGCTCACAAACTAACTCACTTCTCTGGAACACCGTAGAGAAGTTGGCGATCTGGCTCTATTTTATAGATATTTTCATGGACGATGCTCCTCTGAAATATCAACAATTGTTCCTCCCTTGGTAATCCCCGCGAGATTAACCCGTCGAGTTGAGGCTTCGCACCCCTTCGTGGTCACTTCAAAGACGTGCAGAACATCTCTTTCCAAAGACTCGTTCATCCAACGAACAGCGAAGCTCTGGAACACATTGCCAAGGAAGGTGTTCCACGAGGCATATCACCTCCAGAAATTCAAGAAGAACACCAATTCCTACCTTATTGCCCTTGGTTCTCACGATGTTCTCTGAACATTACAGGATATACCTTTTCGTGGGAACCAGAACATAAAAAAAAAGTATCAAGTAGGTATTTTTGTTCAGAATCATCCATCAAGTTTCACTATTCATTGTGAAAATGGGGAAATAGTGAATGATAAAAATTTAAAGTCATGAAAATCCCCCAATAGACTTGAATTTAATCTGATGTGAAAAAATGATCGTTGTCATGCTGATAAAACCACGAATTAGTTTGTAATTGTCGGAGTGGCAATAAACACAGCGTCACTGTCATTTCCGATTCAGTAAAAGTCAATCTTTCTCGATCTTGCTGTAGAATAGTATATTAACCTGTGGAAATGTCGCAATTTGGAGAGGAGAAATTGAAAAATCGCATTAATTAAATAATTGTCTTACCGAATTACACTCAAGAATTTTTTGGGTCGTAATAAACTTGACATTTGTAATATGAATTTCGAGGTATTTTTTTTTCATTTCATTTCTGGGCTACAAAATGTCAAGCTTACTCAGACAAAAGCTCTTGTCTAATTATGACTTAGAAAAATGTGAGGTCGGTAAAGTAGCCGTCTGAAGTACAAGGGGTGTTTAATTTGAAACCGCACACGGCACATCAGTTGCATAACGCATATCTATTTATTTTGACCTTGATATAAGTATTAAAATGAACCAGGAAGTTCATGAATAGGAATATAATTCGATATAAATGCCAAATATTCAAATTCGATATTCAAAAACGTTCTACTAACTTATTATACATATAGGTAAATATCTCTACCAATATCAGGGTTGAGCGTAAATTCAAAAGTTTTGCCATCATATTATTTTGAATTCATTAAAACTCCGTCACCTCCATTTATGAGAAAAATAGTAAAATGTTTTCAGTCACTTTCTTCATATACTGATTCTGATATTAGAATGAAAATATGTAGGCATAAAATTCAATATTTACCTTCACAAAATATATGTTCTGTTTATATTTTCGCACACTGAAAATTGCACTTTTATAGCTCACACAATAATGAACGCATACAACTGTATGGAAAATGAACAACTGCACCAACACAGACTATTTACGTCAAACTACTTCGTTCAGTTACACATACTCTATTTATATACCACGCAATTTCCAAAATCATGTGTCTGTACAGTGTGTCCGTCTTGTGCCAGTGTCAAGGCGTATTTAACTTCCTGTATATAGTTCAAACGAATATAACAGAAAGCTAGTACAAAACTGTGTATTTTGAACAAAGGTTTTGTTTATGGTGAAACGTAGCGGATTTATTTTGAGCCAATTTTTATTTTTGTATTTTTCGATACGGTATTTTCGTATACTTCTTGATATTCGGACAAAGCAGACTTTGAACGGTATCCAAATTGGCTGAACGCCAACTGTGAAGTTTCATTCTTTCTAAGGTTCAAGAGAGTGTGCGAATATGATAATTAATGTTGTCCTGGAGACTGGCGACTCTAAGTCTAATAAAACATTGAGTAAACAAAGCGGTGTGAGCATTCATTATTCCAAATATTTTGGGATTTCCTCTCCTCGTTTCTATAAAATAAAAATATGGATATCATTTCAATATACGTGTAGTAAGGACAAATCAAAAATGTCACTGCGTTCAAAGAATTTTCCAATCAGAGAGCCTAAAAGAAAAATTCACTAGGTTTGGAGAAGAGGAATAAAGGTATATAGAAAAACATTATGTCTAATTTTCACTTAGCTTTGGACGTTTCGGGACCGATTCTGCTCCCGGTTTCAACATAAGAAAAGATTATTTTAATAGCGAAGTCGTATCTGTCTTGAAGCTTTTCAGTTTTCGTTGACAATTGGTAACGTTGGCAATCAAATGAGTTACAGGATGTTTTCATTAATTAATCTTGATTTACCATTTTCATGTTCAGATTTTAGTATAGTGAATACTATGTTCTGTCTATATCAACTGAACAAGAAGCAATGCTATTGTCTTCGTTCAGAAGAATGCAAGCAGATTCCTTGATTTTTTTCTTCTGGTTGTTATCTTCTTTTCCAATGATTTTAATATCATACCACTCTGCCATATGTTGTCCGTCTTCAGTGAGGATATTTTCAGCTAGTTTCGATTTATCGATGTGTCTTTTCTTTATTTTGTACTTATGTTCCTTCGTCCTTACTGAAAAAAGTCTCTTGGTTTCACCTGTATAAAACTTTTGCTATTCCAAATATACCCTGTATTTTATTGCATTTTTAGATTCTTCCTGAAGAGCTGATTTCAACGATACATCAAACTTAGGGTTTATCGGAAATGATTACAGAGATATAGGGTGTTCAAAATCGAGATTTTTCAAATTTTGTATTTTTTTGTGTCGAAACTATTCATTATCGGCCAAAACGGCTCACATGTCTCAATCTCAACTTTTGATTTACTATTTGCTGATATTTAATCCGATTGAATATCAGTGGATAATGAATCAAAAGTTGAGATAGGGACATGTAAGCCGTTTTGACCGATAATGAATAGTTGTGGATTTGGATAGAAAAAAATGCTAAAGTTGAAAAATCTCGATTTTGAACACCCTATATCTCTGTAATCATTTTCGATAGACCCCAAATGTGATACATCGATGAAATCAGCTCTCCAGGGAGAATCTAAAAATGCGATAAAATACAGGGGGTTCCATTTGAACTATCAATGTTGCTACTACTTTCTACTAGAAGCGGCAACACTGCATTGTCGAAAATATTTGTAATGAAAAGAGCGTATTCTAAAATATGAGCATGCACATTTTCATGGATTTCTTCCCACTGATTCTGGATATAAAGATAGTGTAAGCTCATCGTGATATACCCTGTATAGTGGAAATGACAGGGCCGACCCTAGGGTGTCGGCTGCCGGCGTGCAAATACCTGATATGCCGCCTCTCTAGAGGCTTTTTTTTAAATCGAAATAGACATTTTGTGATAAGGAATACCAAACAACACCAATACGACCTCATCCACCAATACAAGGGAGGTATCTGATGCCTATATTCTAAAACGAATCTCTCATTTCATCGAGAAAAAAATTTGGGGCCAAATAAGTTTGATATTATGTGGTTCAAACATGATACCCAGAACCAGATCAAATATCTTTGTTGTCTCTACTTATCGCCAAATGATCGATCCTATGAAGAGCTCTTCAAGTTATTGTCCTTATAGAGCTCGATCTAATTTAGCAGAACCATCCAGCAGCAGAAATCATCATCATGGTCAATTTCAATGAATACAATACTGCTTGGCTCGTAAACTCCAACGAAACGAATGGAGCTGGGCGACAAGCCGAAGCTTTCGCCATAACTCACGGCTTAGAGCAGATTATCAAGGAACCTACACGAATTCCCGATGTCAATAATCATATTCAACCGACACACTCGACTTTTTCCTCAATAATTCAGCACCTCACACCATAGAAATACGAGCTCCACTTGGCAATTCTGATCACACACTCATCTCCACAACCTGCCCAATCTTCATTCCATCAACTACTCCAGCACTTCCCCGTCTTGTATGGCATTATAACTCCGGAGACTGGGATGGTATCCGCATGTTTTTCTCTGAGTTTTTTTGGCATAGAATATGCTTTAATTCTGAGGATCCTCCACAGTGTAACGAGGAAATATCCGAGATCAAGCTTCGAAACCCTGGTTCAACAAGAACTGTTCTATAGTTGTTGTCTTGAAACAAACAGCCTACCATCGCTGGTGCAAGGACATAATAACCTCGTGACTAGAGCAGAAAATGTTGATACCCGGAATGACTGCAGCTAACCAATGGATATCAAAAGTATTATACAATCCCAAAATGAGATCGAAACTCATAGATAGATTGTCCCAATGGCTGCCGTTCGTTTTGGTCCCTCACTGAAGCAGTCGGAAGGAATTCCACGAATAGTTCATTCCCACCAGTCTCCAAAGCCGACGCCACATTAGCAATAACATCGCAAGAGAAAGCGAACATTTTTGCAAAGATGTTTGCAGCAAACTCCACCTTCGATCCCCAGAGGGAAGAGTGTCGCCATACATTATCCACTCGTCGAAAGTTGAATGCCTGAAATCGTCTTTCGCCAACCCATATCGAGCACAAAAACATCTCAGAGATGTTAAAAGTACAAGATTTCGAGACATTGAACCTCCACTGCGATGTTGTTGATGAGAGATGTCCTTGATATGTCACAAAACTACCTTCTCCCTAGTTCTTTTTAAAGCCTTTTCATGGACACAACAAAACATTGTCAACGCGTCTTGCGCACATTGAATCGCTGTAAAAAAAACATTTTCGAGGTACTTTTCTGAAGCCTTTTGTCAAAATGAACTTTTGCATTAGGATTCCATTTCCCTTGAATGAAAAAATGCATTAAAAATAGATTGAACATAAAAATATTTTCTTGATATGAAATTACCTTCATAATCGGTTTCTGAGTAGTGCTTACTACACACAGACATACAGGGTGGGCCACCAGTAACGCCTCGGTCTCTAGAAGGCTAACCACTCATCTTCTTGGAATTCTTCCTCTCTAGGAAGTTGCATGTCAACATAGAAATCGAGATTTTCCAAGTTCAAGAATTTTTTGTGTCTAAACCATTCATAATTGGTCAAAACGGTTCACATGTCTCTATCTCAACTTTTGATCAACTATATCTACTGACATTTAATTGAAACAAATACAGTGTGGTGCAGAATTAAGAATCTTGATCACCCGTTATATGTCCCAATTGAATATCAGTAGATAGTTAATCGAAAGTTGAGATAGGGACATGTAAGCCGTTTTGACCAATTATGAATAGTTTCCACACAAAAAATTCTTGAACTCGGAAAATCTCGATTTTTCACACCCTATATTTCAGTAATTATAACTGCCAAGTATGATGGGTCGTTGAAATCGAGTCATCAGGGAGAATCTCAAAATGAAATAATATATAGGGTGTTCGATAGAAAAAAGTTCAACTTCAGTGTTTTGTGATTTTTGGGGACATCCTTTATGTTTCAAAATAATTTAAAATGGTAGCCTATGTTGACATGCAACTTCCTAGAGAGGAAGAATTCCAAGAAGATAAGTGGTTAGCCTTCTAGAGACCGAAGCGTTACTGGTGGCCCACCCTGTATAATAGAGGTGTCCCAATTTTTGAAATGTTCTCCATAATGCATAATTTTGCAACTGCGGAGAAGCTGTGTATTGATAAATTCGTACTTTTATATATTGATTACACTGATGGTCATTATTACAAACTAAATGAGTCTTCTAACACAATAGACTTCACCAAATTCCTTTCTGTTCGTTAGCAGCGTGATGCGAACAAGAAGAACAAAATCGAAAACAAATCAGAATTCATCGTATTGTGACGTGAGCATGAGACGTTGTGGTGGGGCAAACAAAGAAAGGGCACAAAAGAACAAAAATAATACTTTCAATATCCTTCTAAGACCTCTTTGGGAAGTGCATATTACGCCTCAAAAAAACATCCTCATGCCTACATTTCTAAAACATCCCAAAACATCCCAGAGATACCTCTCAGTAGGCAAACAAAGAAATGCCACAGAAGAACAAAAACAATACTTCAATATCCTTCAAAGACCTCTTCAAGACGTTTCAAAATAACATCTTCATGCCAACATTTTCAAAACATCCCAGGGATGTTTGTGCTCGCTGGGAAGGCACTATCAAACACATTCTGCTCAGTCTCAAAACGAATAATGGTCCTGGTGGAATTCCACCCATTATTCTCAAAAAGTATCATTATTGACACCGATTCTCTGGAAGTCATTTAACATCTTTGTCTGGTATTTTTCCATCATGCTGGAAAATAACTAGATTCCAACCAATACCCAAAAAAGATAATAAAAGCCTGCCCAACAACTATACGCCAATGAACAGGGCAATTGGCAATCAGTCATCTCCAAAATGGTGGAGATGAAGTCATCAACATTGAGCTCATCAAAAATCGGGAAAACTCGCCAGCCGATCGAAGATCAACTGGCAATTAACTTTCCTAAGTCACCCATAAATGGCAAACTTCATCAGAAAAACATGAGGAATCTCTAGCTGTAGAGTTAGATATATATCGAGGGCATTCGACTGTATTTGGCACCAAATCTACTCCACAAACTACCATCATACTGCTTACCACCTCAACTATGCCATTTTTTATCTAGTTTTCT